CTTCTGTGGGTTACATACAACCTTTATTCGCACAAATACAGTATACCCTATTTACTCTTCGAGTACCGGGTATAAATAAGAAGATTATTGAACCCGGTAAACATCTACGTAAAACTTATTAGATATACATATTTCTGTGCTTCGGAATTTGAGACTCTCCAAGCCCCACCCATGCCAAAATCTTCAGTTCACTTTATTATCAACCTTGAGAATTCAGCAGCCCCAAAAAGAGCGCTTAATCTATACGCTAAAGTCTCTCTCTGTCTCTCTCGCTCTCTGGACCTCATGGTACATACAATAAACTTTGCTAACTCAACACATTTGTCAAGCTACACATAATATAACGAGGCACACGAGAGGAAAGGGTCCAAAGAGCCAACCCCATCCCAAAAACCGAAACCAAGACCAACTAAGGCAATTAAACGGAGTCCAAAAGGAGAACAACCAAATCAGTGGGGAAGGAAGGAGTGGAAGGTGGAACGGGGAGGGGAGCAAAGATGATCACCCGCTGACAGAAAATCACTTGGCAACGCGGCTGATCATTAACCGATAACACATGACATTAAAGGGGTTCCACAAAGAAAATAAGTTTTAAATGCACACAAAATAAGATAAATATCGACCACCCCAAGTGAAGGAACTCAGATTAAAACGAGCGGAAAATGAATAGTGTGAACAAAGAAGAAGAACGAAGACAGAGAGAGAGAGAGAGAGACAGAGAGTGTGAGATAGAGAGGTTAGAGAGGGAGCCGTAAGGTACATCTAAAACAACTGAGATAGATATCAGCTTACATTGGAGCCAGACCAGGTCAGGCCCCAAGTCTAAGACGAGGGCGACAACGACAGCGACTGTGGTATTAAGGAGTTGGAAATTTGTCAAAATGTCAACGGGTGAAACAGTTTTTATACAGGGTACTCGAAGAGTAAATAGGGTATATTGTATTTGTGCGAATAAAGGTTGTACGTAACGCATAGAAGGAAACGTTTCCGACCCCATAAAGTTTATATATTCTTGATCGACATCAATAGCCGAGCCGATAGAGCCATGTCTGTCTGTCCGTCTTGTTTGTAGGCTAGTTCTCAGAGACTATAAGAGCTAGAGCCACCAAATTTTTTTTGCTCCAGACTGCTGTATGCTCACACTGAAACCAGTGTATTTAAAAAATTAGCCCCGCCCTCTTCAGCCCCCCACTCCCAAATCTACAAATATTAAAAGAAACCTAAAAACGCCATTTCGTAGGGAATGCCCATATATATCAGATCACCAAATTGGGATCCGATTGGATCATTATTATGGCCACAATGAAGAAATTAATTTGCAGACCCACCTTGTCCCGCAGCTTATATCTGTTTTTTGCACATTCTCTCATTCACACTCTGCTTCGCGCAGACACGTCTCTGCCTCTGCCGAGTCTCTCCCGCGTCTCTGCCCTCACTCTGCAGTGTGTGGCTCTAGGGGAGGGTGGCTAGCTAAAGGAGCGTGTTGGCGTGAGAAGTGTTGTTAATGTAGGTGACAGATGAAGAAAAAATGTAAAATTTGACAAATAACCGCTAAGGTGCAGATGTAATACTGATTGCCGGGTATAAAAGTTGTGACGCGTAAGAAGCGTCTCACACGTCCCTTCTCGTTGAACAATGGAAACGGTTGGCTTGAGGCAACCACGTAGCTTTTGTAAAACAAACCATTAGCAGCTAATAAACATTAGTCATTCGAACAAACGAACTCTCAGAGAGCCGTCCCAGAGCTGGGCAAGATCACTGCTCTCGATGATTTAGTGAGTTTAATTAAAACTTAAAGTTTCTTTTGCTTCGTTTATATGTAAATGATCTCGCGGAATTCCACGAAGGGCAATCCAAACCGATAAACCGAAAAAAAAAGAATAAGAACAAGATATTTTAACTAAAGTTTCGTATGTTTTTTGGTGTCTTTCGGTATTCTGCTTGGGGGGTTTCATATGTGAATACTCTTGTAATTAAAATGAATTGACAGTTTAATCGAAATGTATGTGTATCGAAACGAGGTAATCTAAGCATAAGAGCGCGAGTTGACAGTCCGAGTACTATCAATCTCGGGAACTAGGATCGGCAGTCTAATTGCCACTGTTCTGGGTTGTTCTGGGGAGCTCTTCTGATAAGATCTGTTGGTAATTGATCGCTTACAAATCGTGTACAAGTTTACCAGTCCGACCAGAAACACCGAATAAACTCGAATAGCTAATTGACAATTACGACTCGTAGAATCCTTTTTGAGTCACAGCAAAAACTTCATAAGGGATCCTTGCAGTTCGTTCTTTGACTGTTTCTATGTGTCACCAGCTCATCTTTGTGGATCCTCCAAGTCGAAGTCCGAGTTGGTGTCCTCTTCTTGGCATCCTGTTCCCCAACTGCAGTCCACCTCGTTATTTATGACATTTCCATCCAGGCACAAATCACCCTGAGCATTTTGTTTGCACATTTTTATGGTCGCTACTGATGCTATGCATGCACCAGGGAATCCTGTTGGTCCGGACTGGCTCCGGAACTCGATTTGATTGAGCGAGTTTACATGGGCAAGGTTTTATGGGTTGTTGGTCTAGTTTGTAGGTGTTCAAGCCTGATGACAAATTGGTGGCCATCCAGTCGGGCAACATGCTGCAACTTTGTGGGCAGCGAAAGTGTAGAAAACTTTTGGGGTATGAGTATCCAGGAGCTTAGCAATAAGGTATGCATGTTCGTATATATTAAAATAGAACGGAGTGGAACGTGTGAGACGCTTCGCACGCGTCACAACTTAATCAGTCTACTTATATGTACATACATGTATGTGTGTATGTACCCCAGGGCTCGGCACACATACAATTAACGAGCCGTTTTTGCGTTTGTGAACACGGAACAACGGAACATTGTAATACGCGTGTAAGTGAGGCGCAGCGCAGCAGCAGCGCCTTGTCCTATACCCTTTGGATATGGCCACACTATGGACCCAATGACCACTTTTCTTGACCAAAAGCTAGATTTTAAAAGTTAAAACCAAGACGTGGCTTTTGGCGCTCTGTATTGGTAAAGGAGTGACTATCAAAGTCGCGTACCAATTTTCATAGATGGCGCCACCTTCGCAAAATCAGCTGTGAAACCCAGCGGTCATTATTGAAAAGCACGTGCAGTGAAAGAGTACCAATTTTATTGCTAATTTAAATGTCTCATAAATTGAAAAATACGATTAACTGGTCCAATTTTTTTGATGCATTTTATTCAGTAGGGTTTTTACTGTTTTTTTTTAATGTGAACAATATCTAGTAGTTGGCGATGTCTTCGTAATTGTATGTGAAAGTGAGGCCTTCAATATGTATCGAATATGTTCGTAGTGAAAACTAATTTTTGAAAAAGTTTTTTTAATAGAGTGCCACCTACTCCCACCCTGAAACCTATTGTGTGTTGTAGAGCAATAAAATTAAAATTTATGTAGTCAGAAATGCCACATTTGACCACAACTCTTACAATTTGCATTTATAGATCATAACCTCAAACGAGAAATTTCAATGTTTTTTCGCGTTTGGAACACAATGAAGAAGAAAATTGTGAAGTAGGTATTAGTCACTAGCTATTTTGGAGGGCTAGAGTTTGATATCCAGTGTAATATTGTTTTATAATGAAAACTCCTATGGAGAATGCTTTATGGGTAAAAACTTCGATTATCTTGGGTTTTTAAGCTGTTTCAATTCGTGTTACGACTTTTTTTTTTAAAGAATCTTGCATTGCTAAACATGTTCCCATCCTTATTTTGCTTCTAACTTTTTGAGAAAAAAAATAGAAACCGATTTTTCCGTAAAAAACGCGGTGCCACGCCCATATCCTCCACCAAGAATGACAAGAATAAACAAGCATAGTCAAAGCTTCTGGATGGGGTGGGGGGTAGCCAGTGCAAATTAATTTCTTCATTCCGGCTATAATAACGATCCAGTATAATCCCAATCTAGTGCAGCAATCTAGAAGATATGGTCATTGTCTACGTAACTGCGTTTTTATACGCTGTACTCGAAGAGTAAATAGGGTATTTTGTATATGTGCACAAAGCTGATGTATGTAATACACAGAAGAAAACGTTTCCGACCCCATAAAGTATATATATTAGTGATAAGCATCAATAGCAGAGTCATTGCCTGTCTGTCTGTCTGTCTGTCTCTCTGTCTGTCCGTCTGGCCGTCTATCAGAGACTATTAAAGCTGCAGTCACCAAAATCACAATGAAACAAGTGTATTTCAAAGGTTCGCCCCGCCCCCTTCCGCTTCCACAAAGGGCCAAATTCTTCTACATGATATACATGAAGATTTTGAAGATAAGAGAATAATTAAGGCCACATCTATCAGATCACCGAGATGGGATTATGTTGGAAATCACATGACTCATCACAAACAATTCGGCTCCTCGAGTACCGGGTATAAAAAGCAAGATCCATGGCTCAATCGACTCGGCTATTGATGCTAATCAAGAATATATATACTTTATGGGGTCGGAAACGTTCCCTTCTGTGCGTTACATACAACCGTTATTCGCATAAATACAATATACCCTATTTACTCTTAGAGTACCGGGTATAAAAACTGTTGTCAGAAGCATTTTGAAACCCCAAATCTTTCATAAAAAGTGAGCTTGGTTCCTTGAGGTAATATCGCGTCGGGAAGTGTAACAGGTCATTTTCATTGTATTTTTTAGGACAATTTTGGGCTAACTTTTAACATTTAAAGGATACCTTCTGGTTGCCCTTTTGAAGGATGGAAGTTGAGAGATGGAAAGATGCGAGTTTATTGGACTTTTACCATTGCAGTTGCCACTTCAGAATGCCTCTATCGATGACCCTTATAATATGAATATGTCTTTGAATATGTCCTTACTTTAACTTGATAACTAGATACAACTTTAAACTTTGAATGACTTCCTCGGTATCAACAGTAGCTCCTTAAAATGTTTACCCAATTAAACCCACACAGCATTCCACATCGACCTCCCCCACTTAAATGCGAATGCTCATAACCGTGAGGTTCACACATGTGCCTTTTGGGGATGGAGAAAGAGGCAGTCGAGGATGTGGCTGTTGACTGTGGATGAGGAACAAGAGAAATACATTTTGAAAACTTAACGATGCGCACATTTTATTACCGCAATTAATTACAAAAACAACGCGGCCAAGGCAGAAATCTTAGTCACTTTATCTGCGATGCCAGCAGGGATGATCCCACAGAGAAACACACACAAAAAGAAAGAAAAAGACAGAGAGAGCGAGAGAGAACTGTAGAGAAGAAAGAGAGGCAGACAGACGGAGCGATGTTAGGGCAGCGATAAGCTTTATGATAGATGTGACGAGTAAAATGCTACTACCAAATAGTTCTGGAGATTGCAGCTCCTCTCGTAAGTGGAAGCGCGACAGTTTGTCTCAGCAGTCAAGTTCGGTTAATTGGAGAGCCACAGAGACCCAGAGAGAGAGTGCGAGAGAGAGACTTGGTTGGAAACCTGTTTCTCGACCAATTAAACGCCAGAGAGCTAGAGGCGCGCTGCCTAAGAGTCTGGTCTTTAGACCTGGCTCAGAGACCGGAGACGAGCGTAGACGTTGAAATCTGTTGTTGGCGCTTATCCCAAGACATTTCGTGTTCTGACGCGCACCGCGATAGTTCCCAGTCACTGTGATCCGTCTCTTCCACCAGTAAACGGAGCAATCCCGAAAGTCTATGAGCACGCCTGCAGTTCGGAGCAGGAGAATGGGTTTCAAGCTCGCCATGTTGCAACGAAATTACGAGATGTCGCCCTCGCCAGCGAGCACTTCCCCCACAAATGCCAACAGCTTCAACTCCACCACCACGAATAACACCACCAATGAGTGTCCCCCTGTGGGGGTCCAGGCACCAGCCCAAGTCACGGACTTTAGCATCAGTCGGATATTGGGGAAAGAGGAGCGGAAATCCCCGATAGATGCCTCAACCAACATTCTGGATCTCTCCAAAAGTGCAACTAGCCCACCACGAGCATCAGCCCAAGTTCCGCCAACGAGTGCAGCATCCCCGTATATGGGTTACTCCATGCTACCGCCTGATCTAGTGGCCATGGCGAATGCCACCAAATTCTATGCCCAGTTCTTTCCACATCTGCTGCCCGCCTATGCCGCTGCAGCGGCTGCTGCCGGCCTCAGCACTCCACCTACGTCACCCTACCAGCAACAACAGCAGCAGCATCTACAGAAATGCTACTTTGCACCCTATGTGATCAATGGTCAGGCTCCACCGCAGCCGCAGCCGCAGCTGAACCCTAGTCTAATCCGTCCAAAAGCTACAGCATGCACGCGGACGGACTGCCTGGAATGCCTTGACTACTACCAAAAGCTTCAGATTGGCTACAAACACAAGCCCCTGGTATCGCCAGCTGCCTCCTCCTTTAGTTCGAGTTCGAGTAGCTCCGCCGTTCGATTCCCTGTGAGGAATCTGGGCAACACCAGCAGCACCAACATCTCGCTGACCACCATCACCAATTTCAATATGAACACGGCACAAGCGACCGCCGGACTCATGCCAAAGATGGATGCCGTCGGCATGGGAGGCAACATTAGTTCCAGACGCCACAGCTCCATCAATCCCATTAACCCGTACAATAGCACTGCAGCCGAGGAGATCAGTTATAAGTGCAGGATATGCGAGAAGGTCTTTGGATGCTCCGAGACTTTGCAGGTGAGTTTTAAGATAAGAAAAGGGAAACAGATTGTACTCCAAGATGGGGTTTTAATATCAAGAATAGGAAAAGTAAAAGTAAGTAAATGGTTAAAATCTGAACACAATTCTAAGAAAATGCAAGATTTGTAACGAAGAGAAAATAACAAGGTGTTAGAAGATAACTTCACACGATTTTTCAACGTTTACAAAATTGAAGCTGGTACAAAATGTCATTCAAGTTCATTATTGTCATTCAAGCATATGGCTTTACGTAAAGTATTCAAACAAATTTTCATAATAAATTGTTTAGTAATAAAATGTTAATATTAAGACATAATGATGGGTGAATACCCATATTTTTAGCATCGCAAAACACTTAAAAATGTTTCCTCTAAATTACTTTTTGGATGTTCAAAAACACAAATCCATTCCTGAAACGTTTTCGAACGACTAAGGCTTCCAAAACTGTATTGATCTTATTGTTTGCAATATTAAATGTTATTAGAAATTCCTTACAAATACGATTACAATATTTGTATTGTTGTAGAGTCGGATCCATTGGAATTGGAAATCCATTTCTGAATATTCATCCGATTAAAATACTCCGCCAATCCTAACGCCAATTTTTTTACGTATTGGTAAAGACTTGTCTGCCACTCTCCAAAATCATTACAGGCCCAAACATTTTTCCCATAAGCAGCAATAACCTTTCATATGGTCATAACTCAAAAGAGATATTTTACACCCAATCCTCACTCTTTTCTCAAGCAGCTATAAGTTCAGCAAAGGAAGGCGGGGCTTAGCCAGTTTAGAGCAAGGGGCGGAGTCAACGAAGCAGAAGAACGGCAAAAAATAAAAGAGAGAGAAGAAAAGAGAGCGGCGGCTGGTCTTATGCAAATCTCGATAAGAGGCTACAACGAAATGCTCAAAATGGAGGCAGCATTTCCCGAAAACAGAGGCGAACAAAGCGAGAACTGGTTTTACGCATGGGTGCAAGGCATTTACCAGAAACTCGTAAATTAGACAGAGCAAGCTAGAGGGAGCCACGCCACGAGAAGCAGTCGACAAACGAGATAGCGAGATCCCCTCAGACAAAATGGCCAAAACATTGAACGATATTTCTCTCCCTTTCAGGCGCACGAAAAGACGCACAAATCGCCACGTTACGAGTGCTCGGACTGCGGCAAGGGGTTCTCCCAGCTGCGTAACTACAAGTACCATCTGTCCGTTCATCGCGGGACCAAAGAGTTTGCCGCCGAGTGCCCCGAATGCGGCAAGACCTTCAACGACAAGGGCTACCTCAGCAGCCACATGAAGATCCATCGGAATCGCAAGGAGTACGAGTGCCCCTACTGCCCCAAGTCGTTCAACCAGCGTGTCGCCTTCAATATGCACGTGCGCATACACACGGGCGTCAAGCCTCACAAGTGTGCCGAATGCGGCAAACGTTTCTCCCGCAAGATGCTCCTCAAGCAGCACATGCGCACCCACAGCGGCGAGAAGCCATACCAGTGCTCTGTGTGTGGCAAGTCCTTTGCCGACCGCAGCAACATGACGCTGCACCATCGCCTGCACTCCGGCATCAAGCCATTCAGCTGTCCCCTCTGCCCCAAAGCCTTCACGAAGAAACACCACCTGAAGACTCATCTTAACTACCACACGGGCTGCAAACCCTACGTCTGCCCGCATCCGAACTGTAACCAGGCCTTTACGCAGTCCAGCAACATGCGCACCCATGCCAAGAAGTGTCAGTACCGACCATTGGACTCTACTGTCCCCCCACCCTTTACAAGACCCGTAAAGAAGCTGCCACTGGGGGGGCATATGCACATGCAGCTGCAGGTACCCACCAGCCTGGCACTGGTCATGGCGGCAGCTCCAACGTTTGCCATGCCACCACCACCGCCTCCAGCCCAGCAATCCCTGCTCAGCAATCTAAGGACATTCTGAGATATATACAGATGGATGAGCGCAGGAAGTATCAAGAACCAAAAGTGTGGCATATAAATATTATAGTTTGATATTATTAGTCTGGCAAGAACGTAAGTTCTCAACGCCTCATAGACTAATCGAAATCTATAAATGGTATATATCTTAGCTTTGCTTTATCGAATATTTTTAGTAGTTTTAAGAGTTTGTTTTTATGATCTGCTCCAAGTTTGAATCATATGGAATAATATACATCTAGATTGCCTTTTCCTTCATATGTTATTTACGTTCAGAAAAGTCGAAGCAATAAAGAAGAACATTGAAAAAAGAAATCACTGAAAGAGAGGCTTAACATGGGTTCAAGAAATATGCATCTGGAGATGCTTCTGTCGCCAATGGCTCTGCACAACACACGCGATACAATTCACAAAATGGAGCACCATCCACCCTATGCGCCCTTTTATGGGATTATGGGCGTGGTATCGGCCATTGCGTTGTCCTCGTTTGGGGCTGCCTATGGCACAGCTGTATCCGGAACGGGCATAGCCGCAACGGCTGTTATGCGTCCCGAGTTGATCATGAAGTCGATCATACCCGTGGTGATGGCTGGAATTATAGCCATCTACGGGCTGGTGGTGGCCGTTCTGATCTCTGGAGTGATGGATACCAGCGAGACCTATTCGCTATCCAAAGGCTACATCCACCTGGCCGCTGGACTCGCCGTGGGAATGACTGGACTGGCTGCTGGATATGCTGTCGGTATTGTTGGCGATGAGGGTGTACGAAACACCGCCCTGCAGCCGCGCCTGTTCGTTGGAATGATTCTTATTTTGATATTTGCCGAAGTACTTGGACTGTATGGCCTCATACTCGCCGTCTACATGTACACGGTGGATGTTTAATGCACTAAAACAAATTTGATGAAGCTGAGATGCTGAGGACCACAGACCTAACTTTTAACTTAACTTTCTGCACTTATTACACAAACAATTATTACACTTAAAACAAATAGAATTAAATCATATAAATAATTGTACTTCAACCTTGTTTATTAAATTCTTTAATTTACGCGCCTCGATTGCATGAAAAGCAACCCGCACTGTGGTATTTTTCAATCATAAAACATAGGAAGTATCGATAGTGGCATCAAGGGTACTGATGGTGCAACTAAAACACAGTGTTTAAAACACTTGAATAAGAATTAAGACTAGTGCTCAGATCGAAAAACATGGGCCACTAGAAAAATCAGGGATGATATTCATATGGATCCGATAAGAAATGTTGTTGCGCACAAGCTACTTTCTACCGGGTGTACGCCGGCATTAATCATACAGTATAGTAGTGCGAACCGTCACCGCACATTGTGCGTGAGTACCCCACCCTGGAGTGTGTATTAGTTCGTGTAGAACACGCAACCAGTGACGCACATGTATTGATTGTTATTTTTTTAGCGCTTCAAACCGTTTTTTGTCTTGATTCACATGGACACTGCACGTATTGCATGTGTGTGTGCGCGTTGTCTTGCTGAACTATACTGTATGGTTAAGGCGGGTATTCAGCACCGCGGAAAATTCTATCCAGGAATTTGCTATATATTTCGTTTGTGCGTGGGATGTAACACAGGCATACGAATCAGCTGTGTTTTGTAAACATATTTACTGCAGTGACGGTTTGATATTTAAACTGAAAATAAAAAAGTAACAAATTGAGCTGGTAGTTGAATTGAGAAAGCATTTGGCCATTGCCAATAATGCATACGGTTTGCCAAACGTCCATTAGTGCCAAAAGAGCACAAATATTATATAATTAATTTATAAATTTCAGTAAAATTATATTGATTTCAATAAAGTCATGGGAGAAATTATTTTTTTTGACTCCGACCATCTATTTCGACTCTCTTTTTTCGTTTTGCGCACACTTGTTTCCTCCATTTCGCAAACTACACAACAGAATTGTCATCCATATATTTCTTGCCTGTGTACCAGCTGTTCTCTCAGTCCACACACGCACTTCGTATCGATATATCGATAAGAATCTGTGGATTTTGGTTACGTTGCTGGATACTCAAGAAACAAAAATTCGAACCAAAGTGTTTGGCTACGTTTTTTTTTATATGAAGTTTGGCAGGAATTTTTTGTTTTTGTGGTGCTGGATACCCGCCTTTAATGTCTTATGCTTCTTTTTGTTTGACCTTTTTCGTTTAAACCTTATTTTGCAAGCAATCCAATAAAAAAAAAACGCATGAAAACTAGCCAATCTTGTAGAGAATTGATTGTTGAATCGGATAATCTTATAGATTTAGCGCTGAGAGTCCTAACTAGCTAGTAATCACTAAGCAAACAACTCATAGAGACTTCAAACGGACCTAAAACTGGCTGCCTAATCAGTATAGTGGATTGGCTTCCAGTGCCTTCGGTTCTTGGTGAGAGAGCCTTCGGCTGAGAGAGTTTGGCGTTGGCTCTCTTGAGCATTGAACGCAAAGCGACTCTCGCAAAAACAAAGTTTGGTTTTTCCTTTTCAAGTCTGCTTCGTAATTGCTTATGTGCGGTGACACATATGTACATACATAAATGATGACAATGCGTGTATCTATTCTCAACTTCATATGCGTTTTCATTTTTTGCTGCTGAGCTCACATACCCTTCCTTCAAACTTGTGACTTTATGAAGAAGCTTGCCCCAATAAAAATAAATTGATCTTGCGTATCCTCTCTATGCTCATATATTTCTTAAAAACAGTTAGGACGGGAGGTATAAACAGTTATAATCATCTAAATATGTACATATACAAATAATGAATAACGGCAATTGACTTGGCGTTGCAGCTATTTTCCATTAGAGTATTCATCATACACTGTGTGAATAAACATAGAGTTATAAGTGGAGACATGGCAGCTGTGCCGAAAAAGAATTTATTTGTTTTTTCTTTTCAAGTTGGTTTCGTAGTCTCGTGTGTGTCTCTCTCTCTATGTTTAAACTTACGAATCAGACTTCAAAGGAAAAACAAAACTTTGTTTTTGCGAGAATCGCTTTGCGTTCAATGCTCAAGAGAGCAAACGCCAAACTCACTCAGCCGAAGGCTCTCTCACCAGGAGCCGAAGGCACGGGAGCCAATCCCCTATACTGATTAGGCAGCCAGTTTTAGGTCCGTTTGCGTCTCTATGAGTTGTTTGCTTAGTGCTAGTAATATAAGATAGAACAATAACATCGAGGAAAATTATTTAAGATTTTCGGTATATTTACGGTATATTTTAGAAATGAGAAGGTATATTTTATACAAACCCTTTTTGTTCAAGATCAAAGCTGAAGACTCGAATAGTTGTGATCTATGCTAAGTTATAGAAAATGCTGAACACTTGATTTTTAGATGCCAACGGTTCACAAACCTCAGGGGTAAGTTTTATATATATAAATACTATAATAATCCAAGAGATATACCTACGCGAATAGAGCCATTACACCTTAAAGAACTGGAAATTTTCATTAGGAATGCAAATTTCGACTTTTAAATTTTGGAAAAATTCTATCACTTTATGGAGTAATATATTGATAAACACCGATCTTACTTTTTTGTCATGATCGATCTATACATAACCAGTCAAACTCGTTTGCAGGAAGTCCTTGCAAATCCAAACTTGGTGGTTTAAGGAAGAATACACAAGAGTGTTCTTTCGGCAAGCAGCTCTTTTAACTCTCTTATTTCTATATAAATTACCTGGTCAATGCGGACTCATCGTCTGCGACCAACCAATTTCGCTGTAGCGATTAAATTTAAAAATACGTATATTTTTGAGGGGCATTTGGTATATTTGATCGATAAATCAGCGGTTACACTGGTCGAATTACTTTTTATGGGTTTTTATTTTATATAAATTAGACAATTTTATCACTTTTGCGTGCGCGGGGTGTATAAAAGAGTAATTGACCGCCAGGTAACATACTCCCATTTCCTTCGGGCAGCGGGGTGGCTGTGCTGGGAAAGCTTTTGTGTGCCAATTTCATCACTAACAATATCGTCATTGCACACGTGTCTGCTCATTTTGATAGTCCTTCGGGGATGGAAAAGGGCGAATACCCAAGCATCTGCAGCTGTCCCACTTGGACGGTGATTTGTGCTTTGGGCAACTAGAAAATACATATATACATAATTTGAGCAAGAACCAAATCGCGTAAGCTGAGCTGAGCACTTTGCATCGAGAAGGGGAAGCGCTGCAGTGGACAGTGGGAGAGTGGCTATGTCGGAGTACTGGCACCAGACCAATGGCACAGGCGGAGGACCGGCCACCAGTGAATCCCCAATGCATTCATCGTCGCGTGCCAGCAATACCGATGGAACCTCAGCAGCTGTGGCTGGGGTGGTGACGGATGCCAACAGAAACACCAACGAGGGCGGCGGCAACAACAACTATGTGAGTTTCAATCAGTTCATCATGCAGCACAATCTGGCAGCCAGCACGGGCGCACTGCCTTATGATCTCCTGGCTAGCAACGCGAATTACACCGTCGGTGGGGGCGGAGGCGCCTTCGGACTAACGCCGTCCTCCTCGGGGAGCACCGCCGCCGGTGGCGACGTTTCAAATAGCTTTGGAAATGTGAGTGCCTTGCTGCGCGTTATCCTCCCCTATTTGTAGTGCTAATCCGGTTATTCTCTTTCCCCAACCAGTTCTACTCGCAGCCGGCGGTATTCCCTCCGTCATATCAAAATGGCGATGGTGTCGCCGCCAGTTCGGCGGCATTCGACAACAACCACGTGCAGAGGAGCCCGATCTCCAATCTGTACACGCCCTTTGGCAATAATCCGTTTGATTTTAGCGCCTCTAAGCTGCAGGCGTCAGCCCCAGAGTTTGTGCCCAACATAATGAAGCTCAGCCTCGAGGAGTCCTCTGGCCTGACGAACGGCAATAGCACTGCCAACCATGAAACTGCCGTGAACGAGGGCGCAACACATCGTCCAGATCTTCAGGGAGCCGATGGCCATCGCGGCAGCTCCACAGGCGGCGGACCACAGCCAAGATGTAATCACAATTATGCCTTGCCCACCGAACGGGATCGTGACAGAGAACGGGACCGCGACAGAGTGCGGAACCGTGACAGAGAGCGGGACCGTGATCGGGATCGGGATAGAGACTTTCGGGGTGGCGGCACACATCAGCAGCGTCGCGGTGACTATCGCCATGATCGCGAAGAGCGTCGCGAGGATCGATACGACCGCAACGAACGTAAGAAGCCACAGAAGCAGCAGCGTTATGACAATAATCGCAGCAACAAAAGACGCGACGACTGGAACAGGAATCGGGATCGCATCAACGGATTTCCGAGAGCCGTCGATGACCTGGACACGAGCAATGAAAGCGCCCATCCGTCGCCCGAGAAGCAGCAGCTGCAGCAACAACAGATCTCGCCACGCCGTGCCCCGCCGCCTCCAGATAGCGAGAAGCTCTCGCAGCGGGAGAAACTGATCCGCGACATCGAACAGAGGAGATTGGAGTGCCTCGTCTGTGTGGAGACTATCAAGTCGCACCATTCGACGTGGTCCTGCCAGAACTGCTACCACGTGATCCATCTCAAGTGCACCATCACCTGGGCGAGTAGCTCCAAGTCGGATGTAGGCTGGCGCTGTCCGGCATGCCAGAATGTGCTACAGGATTTGCCCCGAGAGTATCTGTGCTTTTGCGGCAAGCTCAAAAATCCGACAGTGTCGCGCAACGAGCTGGCCCACAGCTGCGGAGAGGTGTGCTGCCGCGTCGAGGGATGTAGCCATGCGTGCACACTGTTGTGCCATCCCGGACCCTGTCCGCCGTGCCAGGCGAATGTAGTGAGGAGCTGCGGCTGCGGCAGAAGCTCCCAGACAATGCAGTGCGCCATGAAGGAGGAGCTCAAGTGCGGTGAGATTTGCAACAAGATATTGAACTGCGGCGAGCATCATTGCAAGGAAGAGTGCCACTCGGGCAAGTGTGCCGCCTGCCCGGAGCAAGTGGAGCAGCACTGCCACTGTGGCAAACAGGATCGTCAGGTTCAGTGCACGCGCGAGAGCCTAGACAAGCGCAATTACTCGTGCAAGGAGAGCTGCGGCCAGCCGCTGCCTTGTGGCAATCACAAGTGCAAGGATTCCTGTCACGCCGGAAACTGCAGGTGATTATACGAGAAGGCCATGCCCCCTCCACAGAGAGTATTTAAAATTTGTAAAATCAATTTTTCAGACCCTGCAAACTGAGTCCCGAGCAGATTACTAGCTGTCCGTGCGGCAAGATGCCTGTGCCGGAAGCCCAGCGCTCGAGCTGCATGGATGCCATACCCACGTGTGAGGGTATCTGCTCGCGGACGCTGCGCTGCGGCAAGCCAGCACACCCGCATCAGTGTGGCAGCAAATGCCACCTGGGGCAGTGTCCACCGTGTCCCAAGCAGACGGCTGTAAAGTGCCGATGCGGCCACATGGACCAGATGATTAAGTGCCGCCAGCTGTCCAGCCGAGCCGACGACGCGCGCTGCAAGAAGCGCTGCATCAAGAAGCGGAGCTGTGGCAAGCACAAGTGCAATGCCGAGTGCTGCATCGACATTGATCACGCCTGTCCGCTGCCGTGCAACCGCACATTGAGCTGTGGCAAACACAAGTGTGACCAGCCCTGTCATCGCGGCAATTGTCCGCCTTGCTACCGTAGCAGCTTCGAGGAGCTTTACTGCGAGTGCGGAGCCGAGGTTATCTATCCGCCAGTGCCGTGCGGCACCAAGAAACCGCTTTGCAAGCGTCCGTGCTCGCGCCAGCATCCATGCGAGCATACACCGCAGCACAACTGCCATTCGGCGGCCACCTGCCCGCCCTGTATGATGTTCACCACAAAATGGTGCCACGGAAACCACGAGCAACGCAAAACCGTTCCCTGCTCCCAGGAGAGCTTCAGCTGCGGGCTGTCCTGCGGCAAGGCGCTGCCCTGTGGCCGTCACAAGTGCATCAAGCCCTGCCACGAGGGCCCCTGTCAATCATCTCCAAGCGAGATTTGCCGCCAGAGCTGCACCAAGCCGCGCACGCTCTGTGGCCACAAGTGTGCTTTTGCCTGCCACGAAGGCGCCTGCCCGGAGACACCATGCAAGGAGCTGGTGGAGGTGCAGTGCGAGTGCGGCAACCGGAAGCTGAGTCGCAGTTGCCAGGAACTGGCTCGCGAGCACAGCCGCATTGCCACCGCCCAACTGGCCTCGTCTATGGCCGAGATGTCCCGCGGCAACTATATGGAACTCAGCGAGATACTGGCACCGGCTAAAGTCAACAAGTCGAACAGAACGTGAGTATGATCTTCGTTTTAAGGGAAATTCAAGTCACTATCCGGAATCTTTCCCTCCATAGTCTGGACTGCAACGAAGAGTGTCGAGTGTTGGAACGGAATCGCCGTTTGGCGCAGGCACTGCAGTCGCGCAATCCGGATACACAGCAGAAATCTCTGACCAAGTACTCGGAGTTCTTGCGGGGATTTGCCAAACGAAATCAGGCACTGACCAAGAGCGTGTACGAGACGTTGACAGATCTGGTGAAGCTGGCCAAAGAGAGCAAGCAGCGGTCGCGCAGTCACTCCTTTCCAACCATGAACAGGGAGAAGCGGCAGATGGTGCACGAACTGTGCGAGATATTCGGCATTGAGTCGGTGTCGTATGACAAGGAACCCAATCGCAATGTGGTGGCCACGGCACACAAGGAAAGAGTAAGCATAATTCAGAATTAATAATCCCCAAATGATAATTATTGAATCTTTCCTTTCTTCAGTGCTGGCTGCCTGCCACAAGCATTATGGAGGTGTTGGCCCGTGAGTCCGGACAACGACGCGTTCCAGTGCCCAGCAATAATGCTTGGGGTCTGAAAAAGTAGCTCTGAACCAGAATCAGGAATAGTTTGTGCACTTATATACACACATTTCATTAAACGTTGGCGCTGGATATTACATATTATACAATTGGAATGAGAATTATAGCATGGATACCGGAGGAGGAGAAGGAGGAGGCCGAAGAAGACAGGAAGCGCTACGAAGACAATACACAAAGCGATTCACAGGAGAATATCCTTTTTGCATTAATTTTTTTGTATAATGTAAATAGTTAGGGAAACTGTAACCGCACCCGTCTGTCTGTTGGAACACTGAATGGATATGGGGATCTATCTGAAAACGACGATGGATTGAAGAGTTGAAAATGCTGTTAATACAATCTGTTGTACGATGAATTTAATTGAAAATAAAAAACATTCTGGCCCCGTTGCATATATAAAGTATAACAGATCAAACAAATATAAGCTGCGGGACGGGGTGGGTTAAAAGTCGGCAGTGGCAAAGGCAGAGGGACGGCAGAGGCAGAGGCCGAGTGAAGCAGAAGCATAGTGTGAATAAGAGAATTTGAAAAGAACAACAAAAGCTGAGGGACAGGGTGGGTTTAGGCACTAAATAAAATGCATCAAAAAAATTGGATCAGTTAGTCATATTTTCCAATTTATGAAATATTTAAAACAGCAATAAAATTGGTACTTTTTCCCTGCACATTCTGTGCAATAATGACCGCTAGGTTTCACAGCAGATTTTTCGAAAGTGAAGCCATCTATGCAAATTTCTGGTACGCAACTTTGATGGTCACTCTTTTTCTAATACAGAGCGCCAAAATCCACGTCTTGGTTTTAACTTTTAAAAATTACCTTTTGGCCAAGAAAATTGGTCATTGGGACCATAGTGCAATCGGCACGCGACAGACAAAATGAGTTGCAAATGTTGCAATCGAAGCAGTACAAATATCCCAAACGAGGAGGGAAATTTAAAAGTGATGCCAGAGTGCATAAAAAAACATTTGTCTCACAACAGGTAGCTTCTGTCAGACAATGCAACTGTCTGAAAATATTTAATGAAATACTTAAAAATGATATCAACCATCGCCCTACATTAGCCTACATTAGTTCCCTCTAGGAACCTCCAGAAGTAGGGCTTAGAAATGGTTTTATGAAATGTTTTGTTTTGTTTGGCCAAACTTTTTGTTTCTTTTAGAGGTAGCTCTTCAAATTTTCACATAACCTAAGTATCTCAAATCTGATTGTAATGAAATTAATAAAGTGCCCCATTTTTCATTCATTTTTTAGGGTTTGTTAACCAATTTTAGCTCAGGCGTTTCTTCATAGATTTTGATGAGCAATACCTTAGCCGACGCCCAATGAATGCATCTATCCACAAATAAACGAGAAGGGATGTGTGAGATGCTCTTTACGCGTCACAATTTTTATACCCGGTACTCAGCTGGACATCAAATTTTACATTTTTAACATGTTTTCACATATGTCATCTACATCGACCTCTTAATCACTTCTCACGCCAACGCGCTCTTCTAGCTCGGTGTGGAAATCACGGTGTGGAATGAGTAGCCTCTGAAAATTTATTTAAACATTCTGGCTATAATAATCATCCGGTGTGCTCCCAACTAGGCGATCTGATAGATAAAGCCATTCCCTACGGATTGGCATTTCTAGTTTTCTCTTATCTTTAAAATTGTGGATACAGCAGATTTCGCTCTTTGCGTGGGCGGAAGGGGGCAGGGCGTATTTCTGAAACACACTTGTATCAGTGGGAGCATACAGCCATCTGAACGCAAAATTTGGTGGCTCTTGGTTTTATAGTCTCTGAGATCCAGGCGCTCAACAAGACGGACGGACAGAAAGATGCTGATCAAGAATATATGTGTACTTCGTGGGTTCGGAATTGTTTCCTTCTGTGCGTTACATACATCAAATTTTGTTCACAAATACAATGTACCCTATTTACTCTTCGAGCACCGCGTATAATAGAGAACTTAGGATTCCTATGTCGACTTTTCCTGAGTTTTTAAAATAGAAAAGTTAAAAATAACGCAATTTTTGGGGCTAATTTTTTAAATACACTTGTAACAGTGTGAGCATACAAAAGTCTGGAGCCACAATTTGGTGGCTCTAGCTCTTATAGTCTCTGAGAACTAGCCGACAAACAAGACGGACAGACGGACGGACAGACGGACAGACAGACATGGCTCTATCGACTCGTCTATTGATGCTGATCAAGAATATATATCTTTTATGGGGTCGGAAACGCTTCCTTCTGTGCGTTACATACAACAATACAATTTTTCCTTTTGGAAACCTTATATTTCCCAGACGGTAAGCTTAGCCAACGAAGTGTTTGGGTCCAATTTTTAGCTTCATCACATATCTTTTCAGAATGTCAATATTCTATACTACCAAATCAAAGATACTTAAGTTATCTATAAAATCAAACCGCCACCTCCCAAAAAAGCATTTACAAAAAATACCATTTTTTTTAAATTCTTCATTAAAAAGTTCTGGCATAGAAAACCATATGTCATTAAAAAATTGAAATGTCCAAATCTATGAGAAAAATTCGGGTTGGTTCCTTGAGGAAAATTCGATTTTGTCTAGTAGTGCTATTGATCGATAAAATAGTGAAAACATCGAGCAGAGTGTTAGCCTTGAGCCTTTATTTAGCCATTAAACAATTGCATTTGTATGAAAAAAGGTGAGAGATGAATAAGGATGTGCATACATACCTGTAGTAGTTTTGTCAACTAGAAAAGGCGCTGCTGCCCCGCCGCAGCGACAACACGACCCTTGGAGGCCACCATTACGTTGGAGGCGATGGCCACACGTTTCTAATTTGTTGCCACTGACGTTGCCGTTGCCGTTGCCATTTTCACGAAAAACAATGAGCCAAAATAAAGATGAAATGTTACGACAAGTCAAAGTGGAGCTGGAGAGGAGGATGGGGGAATGAGAATGGGAGGATGAACGCACTCACGCATACCGGAATGGACCAGGATACGTCTGGAATGTAACAAAACAGAAGAGAAGAGAACAAAAGATAACAGAACAGGCAAGTCGTATATGAATATAGACCTGACGTAATGGGCTGCCTATAAGCGGAATGACTGCCAACGTCGTCAGAGACGTTGGACGCACAACCTCTCTACCCTACCCCTAATCCTAATGCCACTTATTTTGCTAAACCCCTCTCTGACTCTTAAGATGTGTGCGTAATTTGAATTTAGTCTGCCGGGGAGTTTATTAAAGAATACAATGAAATGCGGAGTAGCTGTGGGCCGGGGCCAACACCGGAATGAAGGCAAGAAAAAAGCAGCCCAAAACAAGACGTAGGCCGTATCCGAAGTCGAAGATGGTCTCATAGACAGAGTTTTGAGAACGGCACAGAATGGGGTAAGGGGTGTTAGCTGGGAGGGGTAATAATTCCACAGAGATTAAATTGTGGTGGGCATCCTTGGGCAGGGGTTTTGGGCCTGGGTTTGGGTATTTCTCGCGAAAGAGTTAGGGGAACAGAGTTAATTTTGGGTCAATTGGGATATGGAAGTCCTGAGTGCTCTGGGCTTATAAAATGTGTGTAATTTTAATTATCTCTTATGGCAAGATACTCGAACGAGTACGAGTGCTCCGTACTTGTATTCCCAGTAAAAAAACGAAAATAATACGATACGACGACTCGTACCTCGGTTCGGTGGTGGCTCATCATCTTTTCAGAAATTACGGAAGTAATATGGAACGAAAGAGGATTTGATAGTTCCCTAGTCCTGGTGTGTGTGTCTGCTGTCTGCCATATTTTCTGTTTCTGGAAGTTTCTGGAAGGAAATGTGAAATTTTTAAGTGAATTGTGTGAACATATTACAAGTAGCTCCCAGCTCTACTTCTCTATTTAATACTTTGGATACTTTTATAGTATTTTATTGCCATTTAGCTCCATTTTTTACTGCTATTCAGCGTACTCTGTTGAACTATTCCTAGAATTACAGAAGATTTTCATTGTATTCAAATTAGCGCATTCAAATTTCAACTTTGTTATTTTCTGCAGTATGTCTTTTAATTCACTAGCACTAGGACAGAGGAAACGAGGAGGAACGTCTGTGAGACGATTCTTACATGTCAAAACTTTTAAACGCGGTAATCATTCAGTAAATACAAATGTACGTATATGTATATGTATGTATATGCATATGTATGTAACCTTTTCCAAATTTTACATTTAAACATTTTTCTACATCTGTCATCTACATCCCTTCTCACACCAACACGCCCTTCTAGCTCGCCTCTTCCTCATACCCGCACACTACACTAGGCAGCGGCTAACAAAGCTGCTGGAAGGGGTGGGGGGATAGGCACTGGACAAGAACTTCGTCAGTTTGGCTATAATAATGATCCGATCTTATCCCATTTCAGGGATCTGATAGATATGATCATTTTCTACTGGGCTGCTTTATTTGTTTTTTTCTTATCTTCAAAATTGTGGAAAGAGACTTGACTGGATGAGAGACTTTCGCACTTTGTGTGGGCAGAAGAGGGCGGGGCGAAATTTTGAAATATACTTGTAACAGTGTGATATCACAGTAATCTCGGCGCAAAATTTGGTTGCTGTAGATTTTATGGTCTCTGATATCCAGGCGCTCAACAAGACGGACGAACGGACGAACACACAGACAAGGCTTAATTGACTTGGCTATTGATGCTGATCAAGAATATATATTTTTTTTATGGTTTCGGAAACATTTCCTTCTGTGCGTTCCGCACATTGCTCCGATCACAAATACAATATAAAACGAAAAGGGACGCGTGATACGCTTCTTACGCGTGAAAACTTTTATACCAGGTACTCAGTACTACATCTGTACTTAGGGGTTTTTGTCAATTTTACATTTTTTCTTCATTTTTTATCTAAATCTACACTGTGGTCTGGATGGAAAATTTGGTGGCTCTAACTTTTATGGTATCTGAGAACCAGGCGCTCAACCAGACGGACAGATGGACGGACAGACAGACATGGCTATATCGACTCGGCTATTGATGCTGATCAAGAATATATATGTTTTGTGGGGTCGGAAACGTTTCCTTCTCTGCGTTACATACATCCACTTTGTGCACAAATACAGTATACCCTATTTACTCTTGGAGTACCGGGTATAAAAAGAAAAACATTTGCTTCTCATTTGTGACATTTGGCCAGCGACAGAAACCTAGAGCCCCTGCATGGTCGACATATGTACGAGTATACCAAATGCAGTGGCAGGTAATATGAAAGCTGTCCCTTAAAATATTCATTAAGTCTGAGTGCAGTGGCTGAAATTATGCCTGCGTGTGGACCAGTCCGCACCTCAGCGACGGCACCGATACCACCTTACTGCTGGGCGCTCTGTGAGCACGTGACCCGGACAAAAAGAGGCCACCACAGAAATGTGAGGCAGCAGCAGAGGGCAGGGGGA